CACATCCCTTTACCCTCACAGCCGAGTTGTCGTTATGACGCTTATTTGGAATTTGGCGCCAACTGAAACGCGCAGATGTGAAGTCAAAGTTGCCAAATCAATAAGTAATTTGTTGCTTTCTGTAGTTGGAGTGAACTGTGCCAGAATACATGAATTTCTTCCTCAATACAGATTCAAATATAGTTCACAACTGCGTGAGTAATCGAATTGTAACGAGATTCACTTATTTTTAAGGTTTTAAACGACAGAATAACTATTTATAAAAAACAAAAAAATTTGACAACAGAGCGGATCAGCGTGAGGTCAAAGCAACAAAGATTACCCTTCATAATATGACGTCATTTAGTTCTCGTAGTTGTGAGGTTGTGTTCGCTTGATCGTTGTGCTTGCTTATCATTCAAAGTTATCATCAACGTGCTTTCGCGGAGCTTTCGTAGTCTTTTCGCAGATGTTTCGTGCAAAATAAAAAGTAAATATTACCCATCACCGTTCGCGAATCGATTATCGAACTCGGCCAGTCGGTTTCAACAATGTCGTCCCTGGAGACGTTGTTCGCGGTTTTTATTTCGATCCTAATAACACCATTCCTGTTCTTCTTTCTCGGGATCGTGTGTTTAGCCTCGATCGGGAAATCAATTGGATTACGACGTCTCTTCGCAAGTTTCCTGGTCAAAGTCTTCGAGGTAAGAGCAACACTTTCTTAATCCACTTTTTTGCTTTGGCCCCCACATTCTGTCTCCGAGCCACTATCTCACTCAGCGGATAACCTTTGATACTTACTTGCGTCTGAAAGAAAATCATTATCTAGCCCTGTGCGGGCCGCAGAGAATCATCAGGGCACTCACTGCGTCCTTAACTTTATTCAGTGCCTGGTACTTCTTGCCCCATCTATCTTGAGCAAGTTTATCTCACAGCCCCTAAAATTCTTCTGATAGCACTCCTTAGAGGTGCTCTGTCTACGCATTATGGTCATAACTTTTCAACTTTCATTCGAGTAGGAACGGTGATCAGTCCAGGGTTCCTAGTGATACAGCCGTCTTTCTAGGCATCCCTCCAGCAAGTTTCTGCAGTAGAAATTCAGAAAATTTCTCCTTCGTTACGTATTTGTCCTTTTCAGTGTTCATTTCAAATGTACCTCAATTTGCAATGAGGGTCATTGCTCAGTGTCTTCTCATTCAAACAATAGATTGACCTGTTAACAGCTCACCCGTAAAATTAGTACTTATCTGTCTTGTAAACAATCGCCATATTCCTTCTTCTTCTTGACACGATATTCTCTGCTTTATTTATAATCTGTTTTCTCTTATCAGTAATATTTTTGAGAACGAATGATTTTGTTGGAGTATTTCTCTCTTATATTATGTACTCTACTGAGTGCTCTAATGTAGGTACTCTACTCTAATACTGCTATGTAACAGATGGATACTTACTTAGTTAAACTTTGCTTTGCACTAATGAAAGTTGTTTGTTCTTCCAACCGGAAAGACCTGTTAATTTTAAATTGAGGTTAGGTCTTGCGGTAGATCACTTTTATTGGTATCTTTTCTTTTCTGTTAACATAATTGTATTTCACTTACCTGCAAGATTCTTATTGGAAATACCCAACAATTCGATGCTCTCCTTGCCCATTCTGAGAGTCGCTTCATTTAATTTTACAGCATTATATAGAGGAACGATAGGTACTTGTGGTCCAGCGAATAGAAAAGTTAGATGAATTCGGTTATCTTCCTTCAGTAATTATTTGGGTGCTCTTTATTTAATTGCAAGGGCTCTAACTGGATACTTTATTAATATTGTCTTATTTGTCGTTCTCTGTTAAATAAATTTAGTGCAACTCAATTCAATGTAGAGAACAGGACAGCTGTCTCTCTTCATGTAAAACTTGTTTACATAGAAACTTGCGCATTCTTCATAGCTATTTATAATGGATGTTTTACACTTTGAGTTCCTCAAAGAATTCATCCTCAAGTAATTAATGGAATACGTTCCTCAATTTTCCTCGTGAAGAGAAGGCGGCATAGTAAGTGAGAACTGGAAACCTTTACTCTCTATATCACGCGTTGTGCTTTTCCTTTGTACGTCAGTTTATGGCACTGTGCTCGTTCTTGAAAAGATTTGGAAATTGTTATTCATCCTTTTTTGGAAAGATTAATTTAATTGATCTATCATTAGTCTAATGAGCATCATTACCATTCATCGTCCATTAAGTTCCCCTCAATTGCAACGTCCTCCATGGACATTTCCATCCTATGTCTTTTCAAAGAGCCAATCCACTTCTGATAGCAGTAAGTATTACTTTTGTAGGTGTGTTGTTTAGCAAACGCTCCTTCGATTTAGGTGTTTTTTGAGCATGGTAAAGTTAGGAAAGTAAAAACTTTTCTCGACCCCAGATTCCTTAAAGCTGGGATTGACCCCTCTTGTTATAAAGCATAGGAGTGAAATCAACATTTTACTCCTAACCTCCTCCTCCCCCTCCTTTCCCCTTAACTTACCCCTAAATATTCGGTCCTAAAAATTACCGCAAGGAAATGTAGCTTTCCTTCTCTTCCTCATCCCCTCATCCACACATACATCTCCTCTTGTTGACAGTTTTATTTTTGTTTTGAGGTCTGTCCTTGGAACTGGACAGTTTTTTCCTTTTTCTTTCTCTTTATAAGCATTTGCTCTGCACGCCAGCATTTGGATGTTTGTGCTTAGATTTTAGGAATGGAGGCAAAATTGTCTGAGAGGCTATCATTGTCCCACACAACAGTAGGACAGAGGCGTCACTCATTCAGGATTCGGCAGGAGTGTAACTCTGGCCCTTGCCCCACATCTTTCTTCTGGCCTTTTTTTGGGAGGGGGGGCCTCAATCTTCGTGGCCTCTGATCAATTTTTAGGCCCCTCCACCCCCCCCCCCCCCCCCNGGGGGGGGGGGGGCTCTCATATGCCACGGGAATTCGCGATTTAAATTCTTGCGAGAAACAAGACGAACCTCTGATTCTCTCTGAAAAGAACTGCCGAAAGAATTCCCGCAAAATCGCAGCCTTGGAGTCCCTGAACAAACTGGGAACCTTGCTATTCCATTCGCTCCTTATCTTTGCATAGAGAGTTTAGCAGGATGTGGAGGTGGACTCTCTAATATCGCAGGGGATTCCCTCTGTTATGACCTCAACTTTGAGAACTTTTATGATCTTGTAAGTTCATTTCAGAGAAAGAAAGTGGCACCATCGTGTTCGGAAACGGAAATAGGGACTTTTCGAGGCAGAAGTGCATTTCATCAAGGGGGGTGGGGCACAAAAATACAATGAGCAGCAGCGTGACTCCCACAGTTCTAAAAGAGTCTTTGGAAGATTTTCCTTGTTTCAAAGTGGGGTCCAGTCAACTTACTTGGCCAATCCCCTATAATTCTATCGGAAAACCAAGTAGATAACTGAGAAGCAGCTCTCCCCCTTCCCCCCTCCCCGCCCCCTATTTCACCCCATAATCGTGTTTTTTATTGTATTTTAAACGTAAATCCTCGTGGCACACAAGAGTTCCATCGACTAAAATTAAGCTCATGCAGTAGTTTTCGGAATTTTACTTAGTTTTTTACCCGCGATCGATTTTTAAAACCGTTAAACAGGGTGTCTACAAGTTCGGAATTTCCGGAAAGTCCGAAAGTAGTACTGATTTTGTAAGGGCGGTTCGGAAGTACTGAAAAAGTGCGGAAATTCCGCCAGAAGGTCCGGTATTTTTTTTCATTTTTTTTCGTCATTTATGTCATGGTTTGAGCGAGCTATTCAAATTTTTGACATTTTTCGAATTTCGTCAAATTGAGGTGCTGAAAGAGTAAACAATTTTTCTGTTGAGGAGGTACTGAATTTCTTGGGAATGTGCTGAAAAAGTACTGTTTAAGTACTGAGTTTTGGCCAGCTTGTTCTCGTAGACACCCTGGTTAGAGCTGTTACTTAAAATTTTGAAAATTTTATTAAAAACTCACGCTTTCAGAAGCTCAGACGCTTTCACGCTTAGAAGTCATAGTGAAAGCGTGAGTTTTTAATCAAATGGTCAAAATTTTAAATTTTACTGAAGTTTTTCGAAAGTGAAACCTGCATATCGGCAAGCACTTCAACTTTACCTCAACATTTTCAGTTGCCATACCTAAATATAACTATAAAAACCTATATCTAGGCGCCATGTACACCTTTTCAGGAACGACGAAGAGTTCTACCAGTGAAACAGGTTTTCAGGGGTTCAGCATCTACTGAGCCCCCGAATTTTCACGCGCTCATCTGCTGGCTTTTCACATTGGGACGTACTTCTGTCAAACAGAACTACGTGCATTATGATGTGAGCCCTGTTATGCATGTATTCTTATGGGTATCAGGGCTCATGTCTTAACGCACACAGTTCCGTTTGATAGAAATACGTCCATTTTTCTCATCGGCTGTCCATGGAACGTGCTCGACCGTTTTCTGCACCTACGGCAGCCAGGGTTACCACAGTCAGGGAATGCCGGGAAATGTCAGGGAAAAATCGTCAAATCACCTTCATTTAAGGGGCTTGGAGGACAAGGCGCTGAAGTGCAGGTTTTGAAAAAATTGAGGTATTAATGATTTCCAGTAAAACTAGTCCTAATACATATTCTATGAAAAATTTGCCTCCAAATTCCAATTCATAAGCATCAAAAAGTCAGATTGAACTTTCTTCCCGCCATAAGGATCCATGTAATTTCGAAACTTCTAACACGTATTTCTCGAAATAGCAATAACTGCACTTATGCGCCTTGTTCTGCAAGCCCCTCAATTGCTTTCTCGAGTGGGTTTGACGTTTTGAACACAACGTTTGCCCGAAAACCATTTTTAACCATGTCTTTTCAACGTTCCATTTAAGGGGCTTTTCATTGATACCGCAACGGCTCGCCTCGGATCAACCGTTCCGAAGTTACAGCCTCTTAAAGGTGCTACGTCTGTCAATTTGGCCGAACTTTGAAAGCTCAATAAGTAAAAGTTGAACGGGGCATCCAAAAAAATTAAAACTTACGTTTTTCAACTCAGCTCAGTGAACAGAAAGAGTGTGCTAAATTTCATGCAATTCTGAGGGGGTCAGGTCAAATCACTGGTCTGATTTGGCGTGGAATGACCCTCTGGCATTGGTTAATTGCACGGAGTTTCGCCAAAATCTGTCCGGAAATTTAATTTTCCGAATTCTGTAGCAACCCTGGGCAAGGCGCGGCGTTGTGGAACGAGTAACTATAAACTTAAAGAAATATCATAATTCTGACACAATATACCTCCTCTGTCGGCGATCGTCGAAATAACAGGCGCATGTGACATCTTCGATAAGTCCTGTCGACGAGGGGTATTACTCAACAGGTGTGACCAGACTCACCCCTATCGATTAAACGCAGCAGTCCTGGGAATGTCAGTCTCGGTGCACTCCGTTCCGTCCATTCTTGCCGGTTTGCAAGCTCTTGTTTCCATGGGACGTTTCACGGGATTTGTCCCAGGGAAAAATCTCACTTGCCAACTTGGAGAAAATATCGAGTTAGTCAATACTAATCACTGTAGGTACCAAGCGAATCACTAAATACAAAAAGGGCACATGTCCAGAAAACCAAATTGTTCCGGAGACACAAAAAACTGTTTATTTCGTGATAGATATTTTTTAAACATAACGACTTTCCAAAAAATATATACCACGAAATAAACAGTTTTTTGTG